TGTCATTGGCTGAACATGGGGCGAGAGTCACCGGCCGAGATTTGCTGAGAAATAGAAGGTTTAGGAGCTGGACTGCGGGCTGGGACGCGATAATTTCGGTACACCCGAAACTATATCAAGCTTAGCCAACTTCAACGGCGCGTCACAATGATATGCATCTAACAGTCTGCAAAAAGTCGCGATAAAAATAGTGATAGTGGTAAAACAGACAGGTAGGTAGGGTAGGTACAGTATCGTAGGCGTTATTGGTAGGAGGTTATCCATATTCTATTAGAATTTGTAGGTACTCAGTGGCGGATCCAAGGGGGGGGGGTCACATGGGTCATGGCCCCCCCTTGAGGCCCGGGGGCCCAAAGACCTGCCAGGGGCACCACCGGCCTATCAGGGGTATCACAGTCCTGACAGGGGCACCACAGGACCGCCAGGGGCACCACAGGCCTAGCAGGGACACCACGGGCCTGGTGCCCCTGGGCCCTGACAGGACTGTAACGCCCCTGACAAGCCTGAAGTGTCCCCGGCAGGCACGTGGTGCCCCTGACAGGCCTGAGGCGCCCCTGCAAGGCCGGTGGTGCCCCTGGCAGGCCTGTGGTGTCCATGGCAGGCCTGTGGTGCCCTTGCTAGGCCTCTGGTGCCCCTGACAGGCTTGTAATGCCCCTGGAAGGACTGTGGTGCCCCTGGGCCCTGACAAGCCTGAGGTGCCCGGCCATGACAGGCTCGTGGTGCCTTGCTAGGCCTGTGGTGCCCCTGGCAGGCCTCTGGTGCCCTTGCTAGGCCGCTGGTATCCCTGCGCCCGGAGAGGACTGGTGCCCCTGAAAAGCCTGAAGTGCCCCTCGGTAGGCCCGTGGTGCCCCTGACAGGCCCAAGGTGCCCCTGCGAGGCCGGTGGTGCCCCTGGCAGACCTCTGGTGCCCCTGGCAGGTCTGTGGTGCCCCTGGCAGGTCTGTGGCGCCCCTGGCAGACCTGTGTTGACTGGTGCCCCTGCTAGGTCGCTGGTGCCCCTCACAGACCTGTGGTACCCCTGGGCCTTGACAAGCCTGAGATGCCTGGCTATGACAGGCAGGGCTGCGGAGTCGGAGTCGGAGTCGGAGTCGGAGTCGGTCGGAGTCTGCAGTTGTGACCGGAGTCGGAGTCGGAGTCGGAGTCGATTTTAGAAACCCGAGCCGGAGTCGGAGTCGGAGTCGCCGAAAATCTGTCGACTCCGCAGCCCTGCTAGGTCTGCGGAGTCGGAGTCGGGAGTTGGAGTCGGTCGGAGTCGACAATTCTGCCCGGAGTCGGAGTCGGAGTCGGAGCTGGTTTTTGAAAGCCGGAGTCGGAGTCGGAGTCGGAGTCGCCGAAAATCCATCGACTCCGCAGCCCTGGACAGGCTCGTGGTGCCCCTGATAGACCAGTGGTGCCCTTGCTAGGCCTGTAGTGCCCCTGGCAGGCCTCTGGTGCCCCTGCTACCCCTGCGCCCGGAGAGGACTATGGTGCCCCTGAAAAGCCTGAAGTGCCTCTCGACAGGCCCGTGGTGCCCCTGACGGGCCCAAGTTACCCCTGCGAGGTCGGTGGTGCTCCTGGCAGGCCTCTGGTGCCCCTGGCAGGTCTGTGGTGCCCCTGGCAGGCCTGTGTTGACTGGTGCCCCTGCTAGGCCGCTGGTGCCCCTCACAGGCCTGCGGTGCCCCTGACAGGCCTGTCGTGTATACTTGCTAGACCTGTGGTGCCCCTGCTTCCTGGCAGGCCTGTGGTGCCCCTGGCGGGCCTGTAGCGCCCCTACAAGGCCGTAGGTGCCCCTGACAGGTTTGTGGTGTCCCTGGAAAGACTTTGGTGCCCCTGACAAGCCTGAAGTGTCAAGGACAGACCCTTTAGACGCCAGGGTCAAGTTCGTCGGACTGACAACGATTCGCTTACCTGATAACGTTTCTGGTAAGAACTCACTACTCAGCGTCCACAACATATATACACATAGCACATTCATATATACTTGCTTACAATTGGTAAATGTGGTTGTGGCTAAGAGTTAAGATACTGACTAAAAATAAAAAATAAAAAGAAAAAAAAAACTGAAAATGGGGGCACCACCAAAATGAAGTGGACGAAATCCGTTGAGTTTTTAATTTTGGGTATAGGTAGGGGCACCACTTCGATTCATGACCGTCCCCTTGGAGTTTTCCTGGATCCGCCCCTGTAGGTACTCGTGCTGCATGGCAGACAGCATGCCTAGCTGAAACCTTCTTTGGAGTAGATAGACCTGTTTGAAAGCGAGTATCAATTCCTATTATTGGTAAATGAGAGCAGTAGGTATCGGGAAATTTTGAAAGTCGAAGACACACACTTCCATTTTGTGCCACACAATCTAATTATATGATACCTGCAATGGCACTAATCGAAATGGAACCATGAGATCATGGTTTCACAGATTGCCACAGAACACCCTCATTGCAGCAGTAAAGACGTGTGTGAGTCTAAGACTTGAAATTTTGTGTGAAGGTGTCAAATTGATGCCCGATAAGGTACTTAAAAATTTGGCGGCGCTGCGCGCCCCCGTTTTCTTGCTATTCAGGAAAAACCACAGGGGGGGGGGCAAATTGCCCCCCCCCCCCCAACGTGGCGAGGGATATCTAATAGGGGAGGAGGGGTGAGCTCGCCAAGCAAAAACGGAGTCTATCGTCTTCACGGCTTCTTTAAATCCATCAAGAGCGTGACAACGGGCTACCGCAAATACACTCCACAAATTTTCCCCATGGGTAAACGAGGGATGATTCATGGTGACGCAATTCACTGTGTCACCAGTCTCCCGCTCCCGTTCCTAACAACATTCGGTAGTACCGGGATTCGGGTAGTCACACCTCGTGAAATATGTATGCTCGTTCGCTGCAGCCGATAGGCCGAGTGTGCTGTGTTCTGTGTGGGCGACTGTGTCGTCGGCGCGTCGGAGCCACCTGTCGCCAGGCCAGTCGATGGTTCTGTCGGTTCTGTGGACGATTCCCGCCGGTGCTGAGGGACCTTTGACTATCTGTTTACCGGCCAGACAGGGTGACGTCACTCACGCGTCATAACGTCATCGACCCGCTCACAATCGGAAGCTCGCGTGCCTGTACACGCGGCCTGGTTTCCATGGAAACTGAACTGTGTGCTTTTGTTGTTCAATACCAAATGTATGCTAATAAATGAGCCAATTTTGCCATCGTAGCCCACTTTCTGACCTCTGGTATTTATCGGGCATACCTTTGGTATGTGTGGTGCCTTTGCAGCCGAATAAAGCAACCGAATGGACATGCTATTTCATGGGGTTATTATACCTACCTACTCAATGCTAAAACGAGTACATAGTTCGCTTTCAGAGCAGCAATGATGATGTAATTTCTCATTTTCACTGGCAGATCCAACCAGGCTTTGGGTTCTGTTCTCGGGAGTGCTTGGCCCTAATTTTTCCCAGATCCGCCTGCTGTAAATTTTTGTTTTATCATGCACGTAATGGTAGGTATTACAGCGTAGTAGGTATTTATATATCGCATATGAATGTGTGTTTTCTATCAGTTCCCGCTTCTCTGGCGAGAGTAGTGTGACCAATGATGCTTGAGATGGTATAAGGGCAGAGAGAGGACGTTCAATTACCTTCTTTGGGACTGGTTTGGACCACAGCTGGCTCTTTGTGAAATATTTGTAAGCCGCTTTTTGCATATTTTGGTGGCCCCACGCCAGGATTTATTGACTGGCAGGAAGCAAGCACCCTTCGATGCGTGGCAGTGCAGAACTTAGGATTTGGGCATCGCTAGTGTCCTGTGTCGAGAATCCCGAGTCCCACGGACGCAAAGTCGTGTTTGTTTGTTTTGTTGGGTTAGGCCCTTTCGGTCTGACAAAACCATTTGAGAGCCGGATGGATGATAGGAATTTGGGAGAGACAATGGTCTGGGCACTCAGGGCAGGTACCCTAGAGATTCACGGGGGGGGGGGGGGGGCTGAGCCCGTCCGAATGGACAGACCGACCAGCCCCCCAAGCACTATTTGCACCCGACTACGGTCTACGGGTATGCTCCCCTGGGAGCCGCGGTGCATGAGATAAACCTGCCTGTCCAGCCCGGAATGAAGGTTGCTGTGTGGAGGAGAAGGATTTGAACATCCTGAGGATGGAAGCGACGGACGGGTGCAAAGTCGTGATCGTCCCATGGAATACTTGGCGACCACACTTCCCGAAGTAGCCCTAGCGGCCAACTGGGAAACTATAGGTTTTCCATACTGCCAGCAGGGCTACTGCTTTCGGTCCATGACCCTGCACACCTGGCCGTCAGGTAGAGCCCTACACGGTACACCGTCACCTATAACTTCTGGTTGGTATCATACTCACCTGTATATGAATGCGGAATGCATGGCTATTTTTGTTCACATTTTTTTGCATTGCAGTCGTGTGGGGTCCCCGATTTGAAACCCGGAACTTGTGAACTTCGAAGGGCCCTGCCGTCAGCTTCGGGGACATAGCCCCATGAAAGGCCTATAGGAGGAGGGCTCACTCGACCAGTGGCGTAACGAAGGGGGGTCCCTAGGGACCATAGGGACCCCCTTCGCTACGCCACTGGTCGAGTAAGCCTTTGAAGCTTCCGGTATCCTGTAGTTCATTACTGTAATGTTCCAATAAATATTGGAATGCGGCAGCCAGCAGGCACTTCGCTGTTTAATGTGCATCGGTTTGCTCGATGTTTTCTTTTTGACGAACAGCTGTCTATTTACTACAGCCTTACATAATGTACGCGTGGTTCGACCCTCCTTCCTCCCCAGCTCTATGCATGTTGGACCACCGTATCCGCTTCTCAGCATCCATAATGGACGTTTTTAGAGGCTAGAGCCTAAGCGGGAACGAGTGTAGGCATAGTTACATAAGTTCGACATATTTGACGCTGCTTTTCTTGCTTCCAATCCAGACTCAGTGCTATTTTTGTGCAAAATACGTTGGTTTTGAAAAGCATGCATCATTTTTGTTCAAACTATTTTTCTCAGTTCTCATCTCTGGCGTGCCTCAAAACTCGCTATTTGTGGAAGAAAGATGTATTCAGAAGGCCATGTCCTGAAGCCGGTCGGTAGGAGGGAGGGAGGGAGGGGCGAAGGGGCCGTGTGAGCGGGACCGGTCACGGCCCGGGGGACGGGAGGAGGGGGGAGGGGCGCCCGGTGCACTGCCGAGCCCACGGAGCCCGGCGGCATCACAGACCCAGTCACCACACTCGCCAGTCAGCGGGGCGGTAACAAACAGCCGCGCACACCATCCGCCAACACCCGACACCCTCAACAGACAACGAGGATGCAAAAATACGGCGAAAGGCTGCAGTGAAGGGCACTAACGCTAACCGTATTGCTGGTTGTCCGCCGCGCGCTGTGTCCCGGCGGGGTCGGATGGTGGGTGCGCCGGCAGCCGGAGGAGCACTGTCCGGAGGAGAGGCGAGGTAGGAGGGCCGCCCGCTCGTGGTGGCTGGTAAGCTCGCTCTTCCGACACCCACAGCACTCCTGGCCAGCTCATCAATTGTGAGAGGGGACGGCCTTACAGCGGGGCGGCTGTAGTGGAGGTGGTTTGAGAAGTCTTGAAGCTCAGGGACTCGAAACAACAAGTTAGGAAACATCGGAGATTCCGCTTGTTTCAAACAATCTCAACCTTAATTTAAAATAAATTATTCTTTATCGGTTTGCCAAAGAAAAAGCCATTCAACTAACAGATGAGTCTAAATAAAAGAAAAGTCTCAAAGCACCTCCAGTAAGGAACAGGATGACTTTTTGACGAAGGGACTTAAAACTTTCAGATTGCCAACCGAGTGAGAAGCAACATTTTGCAGAACTGTCTGTACAGCTATGTTCACAGCAGAACAGAATGCCGTGTATCACCTCGGAGCCAGTCGGGAAACAGTCACTGCACAACATCTGCCCCAACGTATCCACATGTTTCCAATCAGCACTACGAGTAAAGCATTTGTAATCCTGAAGTAAATCTTCTTCCACCGATCTTCGTCTATCGATTATGAAAAATCGCGTTCAATACGTCACTCTCAAAATATCTCACGCATGACGCAACATTCACTTACACACAGGAAACAACGTGGGTTAAGGCTTGGGTGCAAAAACACATAAACAAGGTATCACAAACAGCAGCCACGGGACTAGGTATCTAGAATATCATCGTGCAATATCGTAGTACACTTATAAGTATAGCCCAGAGTTGACTAACCTCTCGCGGCGGCTATCTCTTTCACAGACGCTCAGAACGCACCCAGCCGGTTTGTACTTCGACTCGAGACCGTTGACGGCTGTGACAGAGCCGTATCACTCGCGCCCGACATACTCTCAGCACTGGTGACCCCTCGCCATCTACGCCCGTCGGCCTACAGTCCGAGTGTGCTTCTCTCGAACGGCGCTCGCCACGCTTGGTGGGGGCGGCGCCCTGTATCCTAGTGACACCGTCACATAGTGCCCTGGGTGAGACTGTCACGCAGCGCTCTAGGTGGGACCGTCAATCCGCGCTCTAGGTGGGACCGTCACATAGCGCTCTAGGTGGGACCGTCACACCGAACGCTTCACCTGACTGGTGAGGGCACATATCTAATGTCACCTCGTGACCCGGCAAGTGCCGTCACCGCCCACCGGGATGGCAGGGCTGGAAACGGGCCCTACAGGGCGAGTGAAGCCACTTGGTATGAACATCGGGTTGGTGTCACTCAAAACGGAACCGGTAACATCATCGGTACTATACCTACTAAGCGAAAGTCTAGCTTTGGCTAATAAGTTTTCCTATTCTTGATCTACCAAAAGACTAATGAGAACTATGCAAACATGCTGACAATTACTGACGCATTTAAATGATCACCCTGGATGCATGTAGGAAATGTACATATTGCTCCATTCGGTCTTTAGAAGCTAGGCCTAAGTTCTGCGAAACCCTTTTCAGTCAAGGTACGCCAGGTAGAGTTGGAAAGGGGACTTTACATCCAAACTATTTAGATCAAAATTGAGCTTGTGGGAAGTAAGTACTGCAGATTTCAGATCAGTTTAGAAACGTGTTTTTGATAGATAAAAACATAGACCTCTCTGTATACAGAGCCTACAGAGGTCTATGATAAAAATGAATCAAGTGTGGTGTGTTGGCAGCAACCATCGGTACTGTTCAAACTTCAATCATTGAGATAGAAATAAACTCGCACATTCTTGAAGTAAAATATACGTTGTTTTTCGCAAGCTTCCTTTGTGCATTCTATTCATTTTAAAAATACGTTGTCAATCAGTGCTATCAATTTTTAAAATGTCAATTTGAATACTTATAAAGGAGAAATTGCCCTTGAGGAAGCTTTTACAGGCATCGGAATACGTGCTTTTACGCCTTAACTTTTCAGCATTAAATGCAATCATTGATAGGTAAACTCATATACCTAAGCATGTGAACAAAGTTGTAGATCATATGCGTGTGTCTGCAAAGCCAGATATGCAATATGCATATACTTACAGGAGCTGCGCTTAGTGAATCCCCCGTCTATCGCCGTGGCACCATTACCGTGCGCAGCTCGGTAAAGGACGCCGCGTTCACTCTCGCACCGCCAGCGCCGGGCCTCTGGGCTCGGTCACTGGACTCACTCATACTAAAGCTGTACGTACCATGCTCGGTCCCTAGCCAGCCGAGCAGACGACATCGACGTCGGGTGTCACAACTCGCACCCAGAAACGCGGCCGGGTCACAACTCGCACCCAGGAACGCGGTCGTGGGTCACACCACGCACCCAGGAACACGGTCGGGTTCCACCACGCACCCATAAACAGACCCCGCGCGCCCCATCACACACCCCAAACAGAAACAATCGAGGCCGTCCGGCGCCGGTGGGCTGTGCGGTCGTCGGGTGGCGTCGCGCCGAGGTCAGGGCGCTCAGGTCAGGTGGGTCAGGTCACACTAGGTCAGGTGGCGCTGCTCTGGCGGTCATCAGACGCTCTCCTCCACCGCCGGCCGACTGCTGGGGGAGGAGGCCGCCTGCCGCTGAGCCACCGCTGTTAGTGTTGACACCAGGTGGTCCAGCTTCTTGTCCATCATCAGCAGCTGCGGGCGGACAGACAGAAAGTGCTATCAGCAGCTGATAGGCAGGACATGTCAGCAGCTGAGGGACAGGATAGGCATCGTCAGCAGCTGACGGACAGGATACGTCGCTGTCAGCTGAGGGACTGACAGAGACCGGCATTCAGCAACTAACTGGCGATGAGAACGTCATATGCGACGGACGACATCATGCCGGAGAGGCAAGACATCGTGGGCTGACGGACGGACAGAATACAGCATCAGCAAGTTTCAGCGGATCGAAATCGGTCGTCCCCACTCATCAGCTGTCTCCCATCGCTTACACATGACACGCCGCCATCGACCGGTGCAGAAACGGTGATCGAGACCCGTCACCAGCCGTCTCCTTACCATTTGGGGGACGCCGAATGGAGAGCCAATCGCACGCCCAGCTGACTCCCTTTCGCGCCTCCTCTCCACGCCACAGAATAACACGGTAGCGCGTCAACAGCGGGGCTACACGTCGCACCCAATCTGACTTTATAACGTCAGGTCACTTTGTATGTAGATTGAAAACGTTGGCGACCGCATCAGGACTCCAGCATGCGAGACCGGATTAGACAGAAATCGATTGTCACTTTCTATTAAGAATGGAAATGATGTCCCTCATTAATTCAGAATTTATGCAGAATTTGTAGCTTGTTTGGAACGCTCACAGAGTGGAAGTAGCATCCCGACTGCTTATTTCGAACAATAAATTCTGTCCGAGCGAGAGGCTAAATGATAACTGAAAATATACCTACCCAATGAACCTGACGCTAGGTGCTCACGCACGTGTCGACAAAGAAATGCTTCATGCATTTGGCAAGTACAGCCTCCATGCTAAGACTCACGCCGCCTCGAAGTTTTACGGCTTTGTAAAGCGGGGTTCTTTCATGACCTCACGCCTATGCCTTCCCTAACCCCGCTGGGTGCCTGTTTTAGGCGGGCATGTCCCTGTTTTCGATTCGCGGCCGCATTTCGCCAACATGTGTACGCTGTCGTGGCCGAGGAACCATGGCCGTCCCAGGGCAAACAGGCAGCCGTCGTTATTACCCAATCAATATCGCTGTTACTGCCGCACCGAGGACAGTAGGAGACGACCAATGTGCGCCGTGCGCTCTATCGAACTTCTGCTATTGATGACGCACTACGTAGCGTGTTTGGAGGTCATGCTCCGAGTTCGACATATGGTGGTCGGAGGGCACTGCAGATCATAAGGTAAATGTAGTACTGTGAATCGGATGTATCACGAGACTCATTTCCAGCTTCCTACAGTCTGAACAGGTCTAGCATTATTAATGCGAATCTAATTGGAAATATCTTACTATATCAGATACTTGGCTTCCTGGCCACTATCATAACACTAAAAAAGAAACCTATAGGTACTTGGCTGTCTGCCTGAGCTACTTGCCGTCTGTCTCCTAGTCCCGGTCGGACAATCATCAAGTGTGGGATATGCGAGACCTGTGCTTTTGGAGCCCACTCCCGTCCGCAATCTCGCACCCTCCCCACTCACGACCCGCGGCGCCATGGGGTGCGGGCGGGCGGCAGCCGCGGACGGCGCTGCGCTGTCAGTTGTGTGCCCACCAGATGGAGTGGACAAACAGAGCGTCATGGCGCCACTCACACCGTGGATCATCCGTGTGGACAGTGGATCAGCCGCGTGTGGACAGAGCCAGACGGCACCGGCCGACGGCGCAGAGACCGGAGGATTGATGACGCCCCGGTCCCGGCGGGCCCAGACATTGCTGGATGTCTTAACCGTACAAATTGCACATAAGCGCCCACAAAAACGCAAGTAAAATTAAGGGCACCTTTTGCACATTGTTTAGAGGGAGCGGAGCAGTTGGTCGCAGCCCGTTCCTCTGCTTCCCTCGCCTGCTCTTCGACGTTCACCTCTCGACCCCTCACCTGCTGCTCGGCGTTCATCTCTCGACCCCTCACCTGCTGTTCGACACGGTAGATCCTGGCGCCTATCGTCATCGGCTTCAGGCCGCCGTTCCTGTCCAGGCTGGAGATGTAGCTGCCCGGCTTCCCGAGCGTCTGGTCCAGCCGGCGCTGCAGCTCCTGGAGGGTAGCAGGTCAGATGGCGGGTCAGCAGAAGGCCAGAGAGATCAGGAATAGGTCACATAGGTAGGTCGACAGGATTAATACAGGGTCAGGAAGACCAGCAATGGGTCCGAGCAAGAACGGCAAAAGAACAGACTGGGTGGAAGGAGGATGAGTATGACACGGATGAGCAAGTGAGTTCACAGTGACAGTACAATATGAAAGTGACTCGTCGAAAGGAAAACGCTGTCACTTGTCAGCGCATAAGACAGTGGGACCTACGGCGTGTTGGTGTCCGTGATTCGTATGTTATCTGGTGTGTAGACCGGCTTAAAGTGCGGTCTGTAGTCTGTGAGCTGTTCGGCAGGGACGGCCTGTGAGCTACAGTGTGTTGCTGAGTGGCAGCGATAACACCCGGGTTCGTACGATACTACGAGTGAGTGCCAGCGCTGGTTCGACCTGTTTTTATGCGCCGGTGGGGCCTCTATGACATCAAAGCAAGCCCAATATGACATCCAAGCCTTATGCTATTCTGACAGATATGACACGGCATATTTCTCGGCACTTTAGCAGACAGTTGTTTTCCGACGAGCACCTAGGAACGTCTCTTTCACAGCGTCAGCAATTTCCTTTTATGTTTCACTTATGGCGAGCTCCAGAATGTAGCAGCCACTAACGCTGACGTTCAGTTCACAGCCACCAGTTGCATTCTGCCTCGGGTCATGACGCACCAGTTGCGCGCAGCCGCTGACATCCCACCAGTTGCGTTCCAGTTGACAACTGATTGATGTCAGGCTCAGCCGCTACGGTAGAACCGTAACATGATCGACTTTGTCGCCGTCAGCCCTAGCTTTTGATCAACTTCGATGTATAAACCTCTCCAACTTCACCTTTCCGAAACATAGCTTTGTGGTCTTTTAGATACCTGAAAAGTAAGTGAATGCCCCTGGTATGTATGTACATACTAATGGCTTGTTGAGACGGCCGTGACGAATAATGACCAAGAAATATTATCAGGTATCCCCGGGTTTCTACCGGTCGAAAGTCACAGGTGGTCGTTGATGGGTCCTAGTGGACCGGCCTCCCTCCCGGCGGGGCTGTTCGGGTCGTGAATCATCCGACAGGGCCGTTATGTAGGCACGGTGTCGACGTTAATCTGCCTCTTACCGCCCAGCAGCGGCCACCAGTTACCATACCGACCGGGTGGAAGGGCGGGCACAGACGGGCCAGCTAACCGAGCACCGACCGACCGCATACAAGGCGGCCACGAGAGCTCAGGATCAGGCATTACTTCCAAATTATTGTGCCGAGTGTTTTGAAACAGGTTGTGTCATGAGACTATTCTCATGTGGTCCGCAATGGTTCAAGTGGACTGAACTACCTAACCAGCAAATCAATATGTTTTTGCATTATATAGCTCCAATTATTTTCAAAATTTCAATCAATTAAGTGCCCGGCTCTATTTATGGCTAGGCGTTAGGCTTACAAAATATGCAAATTAACTGCTTCATTGTGAATGATGAATCTCAATGCAATTTCGATGGAGACGGCTGATTGTGAGCAAAAATCAGCCAGCGCCTTGCAGAAAGGATCGTCTTTACGCACCGCTGACCCTGTCGCGATGTCAATTCCACCTGTCACCTCTTTGCCATTGCGCAGCGTCGTTTATCTAACCAGCCCACCGTTCGTTCGTGTTCGCTCTGTAAAACCGCCGAAAGGTCAGTTGACGTGGCGGAAATACCAGTCATTTGTTCCACCTCATCACCTGATGAACTCACCTTGATGCGAACCATCATGTTGAGATGGCCCTGGCTGTACTGTTCTATGACGTCACGAACGTCGTACGGCTTCCGCGCCTGCTGGAACTTCCGGCGCGCCACGAAATATTTGATCTTTCGTATTGCTCGGATGGCGTTTTTGTGCGCTTCCGTCAGACTGTAATAAAAACACAGTGTTCAGATCGCATTTGCCCAGATGTTGGGCTTCGCCAGTTGTATTCATTACGAAATGTTCTTTGGTTTCTATTCATAGGTTATAAATGGATCCATTCTTAATTTTATTTATGACTTTTTATTTATACTTCTGCCTTGTACTTCTTACAAAGCATTTTGATTCATGAAAGAACTGACCAACCTGGGGCTGCTTGGAACTTTTTGGAAAGTAAAATGTTGCGATAGACCATCTCATTAAAATAGTTCCGATAGCATTCTTCCTTGTTCAATTCTTGTAACAGTCTAGTTTGACTTTTACGAAAGATCATTCAAGTCTTAAATGAAATATTTGGCAGCGACAACGAGGATGTCATTTCAAAACAAAAATAAAAACTAAGGTCTGCTGTCTGTCTTATCCCTCGCCGGACCTATTGGTTTTCTACATACGCGCCGGCCGAGGGGGGGGGGGGCGGGTACGACCCCCCCCTCGCCGTTTCGCCCCTGGTGGAGCTAGCGCGTCGCGGAAAAAACGAGCGTGTGCGCCGTTACGAGACGCAGAGATTGGTACCCGATTTTAAGGTCCTAGGTCAACCGGTGACCTCTGAGGTCAGGTCAAGTGCCCCAAGGTACGGTTCAGTTTTTGGTGAATAACTTCGCAAAAAACGGCCGCAGAGCCGCGATTTTGGCAGCATCGTGTTCGCCTCGCTCAGGCGCGTCGAATGATATACTTTTTGTTCGGGTCAGGTCAACTTGGGGTGTTGACCTCAGGTCAAGGTCAGGTCAGCACCCCAAGGTCACGAAGTTGGTCGAAAGGGGTCATGTCGCATATCATTCGATTCGGCAGGTCTTCCTGAGTCCATTGGTGGCTTCCCCGACTCGCTAGCTCAATTTGATCAAGAGTTATTGACGAAAAACTAATATGACCTTGATGACGTCATAAATGACGTCACGAAAGGTCAACATTGCAAAAGTGACGCATCTAACCTTGCAAGGAGTGCATCAAATCACGATTCTGTGTGCTTGAGATAGTTGGAGATCGTTCCCGGCGCCAGAATAGCAGTTTTCATTTTTCCCCATTGACTTATAATGGTGAGGTCACGAAAATGACCTGACCTCATATGACCTTTAGGAAAAATCCGAGATATACAAGTTGTGAGACTCATAATGGATACTAGATCCTGCAAGTTTCATTTCCCTGTGACATCTCCTCTGGCAGTGAGGGCGTTGCGAAGTTGCGACATCTGAAGACCGTGCAGAGGTTCACTTATGACGTCATAGGTCAGTGACCTGACCTGACCCAAAAATGCGGTTGGTGTCAAAAGATGCGGCTTGAATCAAAGGTCAGGTATGCCAAGTTTCAGCTCTCTATCGCCAGCGTGTTCGGAGCTATCGCGAAAAAACCCTATGGGGGGGGGGCGGCACCCGCCCCCCCCCCCTCGGCCGGCGAGGGTTATAGAGGATTATAATTTAGAAAACAGCTCTCGTTGTTCATCAAGTGCCGTTTCAGTCAGATATGACTTTGAAATTTCTTCGGTGTATTTTGATAAGACACCGCGGGGCCTCACGACCGGGCGCCTGACTGGCTGGCTATGGTTTTGCCGACTGCCTGCATGGTAGTCTGTCCCGCAACACTCTGCTGCGCTGCGGAACAGCATCACTATGCCTCGCGCGCTCAGTGCACCAGAGCGGCGAGCGCTGCAGCTGATCCCGATCCAAGTTCAGCGACTTCCCTCAGGTTGACAAATATAAGCATATTGGCTTCTGGCTAGCCTTTGCTTATGTAAGAACATGGAAGATTTGCTGACTAGTGAGGGTCCTGAACAAATACCCGGGTTAGGTGTTACACAAAGCAGCATTTTAGGCTAGGCCGGGTAAATGTAGCCTTTGTCGTCCCACTGACCCTGTGAGACCGCCAGTCGTCCCACTGACCTTGTGAGGTCCCCGGTCGTCCCACTGACCTGGTGAGGCCCTGCGGCTCCTCTATGTCGATGTCCACCTCGTCCGAGGCCACCTCTGTGTTGGAGCTCGTCTGGCTTTGGAGTGCCGGGCTCCGACCCTCGCGGCGGCACTTGTTGGGAGTGCCCGACCCCGCCGCACCTGCAGAGCACGCAGAGTGCCTCGGTCAATGCATTCCGAGTACCACAGTCAACACCATGGTCAACACACACTTCAATCTCCCACGGTACTTCTGAAAAAAAAACATGCGAAGCCTTGTAAATGAACGACACATGTAGGTAGTTGCGTACCAAAATTCCCGATACCCACTAAGCACTGACATTTTTTTACAATGATATAACAATGCCTTAGCTAATTGCCCATTTTGTCGTGCAAGGAGCTTGTATTGAAATATCTTTTAATAAATATTTCCGAAAAATGTCCCTATGAATGCTGGCTAAAAGCACGAAGTTGTGTGATATATTTTCCGAGATCCCGGTTCGTTCTTGGAATGTTGAATAGAAATAGCGCCCTGGGGACCTTCTTCCGGCGCGTTGCGTCTTTTTCTCTCCGGCTGCAGCTCGAAAACATCCCGCACAGCCGCCGGGCCGCGCCTGATCCGCGCTATTCTGCTGTCGTTTATCGATTCTTTAGATCTCCTACATCTGCCTACTCTCAAGAGAGGTTGCTGTTATGGCTGCGGCTCATCCGATTGGGTGGCAACTCGTGCGAACTAACGAGCCGCTGCAGTACCGTGTGAGGGCTTATTGTGGCGCCTCGAGCCAGCCACTCGGCGGCTGGCGCCCTCCGTTCGACCCGGCCACCTGGGCCGGCGATACAGCGGCAACAGGCAGGCACCGACCCTCGGTCTCCGCTGAGCTGAGCGCAGCCAGCGCTGGACCGATTCGGTCAGCGTGCGTGTTTCATTACGCCTGGCTGAGTCGGTTCCGTCCGACCACACGTCGCTTCAGCTCAACCCGATTCCGATTCCAATTGAGAACAAGAGTCAACACTCAACCAAGTACTCAACTGGATAAATAAGGAAAATTTTGTTTATATAAGCGTTTTATTTCCATTCCGTCTCGAGAACTAGGCAAAAAATCAACAATGCAGAGAAAATGTTTAGTGCGAATAGTCGCCAAGTTGATTGAAATATGTCATACTTTACCAGATAGTATTTCACACTTCTTCAAGCAATTTCAGTAGTGTCAAGTTCCATTAGCCACAGAATCAATCTGTTTTCAGTGAAATCGAGCGTTCGCCTGCATTGGCCCTCTGCTCTTCTCGGATCGGTCCTCAGTCCAACGGTCCACGGTTCGGTCCGTGTCGTTCCACAGTCCGTCCTGGATTGGTCCCCCCGATTGACCCTCAGTCCGACCCGTATCGTCCCATGCGGTCCGGCCCAGATTGGACCCCGCCCCGACCGGAATTGGCCCCGGTCCGGCCCGTATCGTCCCACAGTCCTACCTGTATCGGCACTCAGTCCAACCCGTGTCGTCCCAAGGTCCGTCTCGGATCGGGGCTCGGCCGGACCCGGATTGGCCCTCAGTCCAACCCGTGTCGGCCCAAGGTCAGTTTCGGATCGGGTCACGGCCGGACCCGGATTGGCCTCCGTTCCGTCCCGTATCGTCCCACAACCCGTCCCGGATTGGCGTTCAGTCTAACCCCTATCGTCCCACGGTCCGGCCCGGATTGGCCCCCGTCCCGACCCGGATTGGCCCCCGGCCGGACCCGGATTGGCCCCCGGCCGGACCCGGATTGGCCCCCGGCGCGGCACTCCCGGCGCGATATTAGTATGCTGACGCTGACTGTTTGTGTAGTCGATCTGTTGAGGCGAGCCCAAACAGAGCACTGGTGATGGCAGGGCGGGACGGCCCGGCTGAAGCCGGCGCCAACAATAGACTTCTCGGTCCACTATAGTCTTAGAAAGAGTTGACAGATGATTCCGTCAATATCATGAAGATCGAACGTTTAATCCATACGGGGGCGGCAGAAATATAAACACCCGCATCGATGGCATGAGATCATTTTTCATGCAGTCAAATATGGCACGTCTGTTGCATAAATTGTAAATATTATTGCAACTTTTGCCCCCGGGACAGGTCACAGGGGGCGAGTAACCTCCCGTATCATTTCATATTCCAGCTGGCCCGGACTCCACACCTCCACCAAACGCGCTATTGACCTTCAGGGTTCGCTCTGTCATTGTCCACTATACAGCTAATCTACATCTTCCGGTGGGTAATGGACATTCCCGGCGTCGGATGGATCCGTCCCTCGTATACATATTTTGTCACTTAGGTTCACGGTACCGAAATGCCCTATTTGTAGGACGCAGTCGCGATGCTGTCAAGAATCCCAAAGGTCACTCGTATATTTATGTTTGGCCTACATTAGTCTGAACAATCGTCCCAAGAGAGGAGTTGCCGCTCCTGAGCCCCAGGGCTGTGCCTTCAATGAATGCATTAGACAAACTTGGCGATGCTTTCATCCACCACGAGTATTATGCGTCCGATTTGCAAGGCAAAGTAACTCGGCAGCCGACAAGGCTCGCCTGCATACAGAGTGATTTCTCAGACGAGGAGGAGCGACGCTGTCAATGAAAGCCACGACGCGGGCCTCAGTTTTTTTTTTCTGCAGTCACTGTTTATTGGCAAACATCATTAACCTTTTAGTGGGATTGCCTATTATAGAAAGAAAACTACTACTTTCCTCATTTATGACGATGGTAAAAATCGTGATAATAGGTAAACAATGTTGTTCCCCAGTCCTTATTAACGGGCTTTGCATGAAGGTACTATCACATCTTTATGTGAATTGTATCGCTAAATGAGAGAAATGATGTGATTACAAATGCTTCAAAACACTATGCTTTTGATTCTGGACAGTGTCACGTAACTCATCTGTGTTGGTTAATGACACTGTTGGTTTAGACCTCGATTTCCCTGAATGCATCTATTTTAATGTTTCATTGCCGTATGCCATATTTCATTCCCGTCACAATCTTAGGCTGTTTGCATTGCACACTGCCCACTGCCATTTCTAAACGGGGTTTATTTATGACGTAATTGTGAAATTCTGCGCTTACCAGTTTGTCGGGCCTCTTCGTCGTAGAAGACTACGTCGTTATCGCTGTCTCTTCGACCCACCTCCAGACAGCCCTTCTCGATCTGGGTCCGCGACTTGCGCCGCTTCAGAACACTGGCCTTTTTCGCCACCTGTAATAATAAAACTTGTCGTAGATACATGAGTTGTTAAGGTGTTTGAGTGGAAGAAAGTATTCGTAATTACATAGGTGGAGGAATGGAGGCAGGAGGGGAAACCCTTGTCGGCACCGCGTTTTCCTTTGAACTCGCAAGGCCGCATGCTTACAAAATGTTCATTAGTTCTACGAAGAATGACATCAAACGCCCCTCCCCCACTTCCGAATCGTTCCGCTTTGATAGAAAATGTTACTCGTCGTTGATAATTGAAAATATATCATAAGATAGCAGATCGGCGACTGAACTATGAGGAGGTACTATACAATATACCATGCATTTTCATGAATCCGGGACTGAAAGGAGAAAACCTGGACATTGTGCTTTCGCTAGCGCTTACGCTATTTTGGAGATACTCCGGCGCATGTAAACCTGGCGATCAACTGAGATATATCGCAAATCACCTGAACCATCGTGGCCTAAGCCCGACTCCACCCAAAGGTTATTTCACTCGGAATAACAGAAAACGAATGAAAACCAAGGCTTATGTATCAAGATGAAGATCCTGTTTCTATTTCTCTAAAATAATACACAGAACAAACTCGTGCTCCAAACATCAAGATTGGACTCTCCTCCCTTTGTGATACAAATATGAATGCGACCAACACGGGGCCCGTTGAGTAGCGCCACTCGCTCGCATCTCTGGAAACAATGCCAGCCAAAACAAGGCGCCCAGACGAGCTCCATCTGGGCTTCGCAATTCCACAGCTCAGCTGCCCTCCGTGGGATGATGTTTGGACAAGGTTTGTGCTCCTTAGAATGTAATAATTACATTACTAAGCAAAATGCTTTTCAGGCCGTATCTATGTAAAACGTGTGGTTATAACCGGTTTAATCGATTACATATCGATTTGCTTGTTTTCAATTCATTTTCCAATAAATTCAACTTTTCTGCGGTGATGAGTTACGCCTGGCTGGCGCCGACTGACTGTGTGACGTAAACATGCTGACGTCACAGTTCGAGGGGTGTGGGATATCGGTGATCTGATGATGTTCGCTTGCTGCTGCGCGCTCTCCGGGATAAATATCCGACAAAAGGTGTACAAACACTCCCCGAGGCGAGTGTTTACGAGAGCGTCGCGGGACAGCGCGCGGGAGGGGAGCATGACGGTTCACCAGAGGTGAGAGGGACTGGATTGGGAGGGTCGCTGTCGGATGGAGAGGATTACAGCAGAGGGTTTTAAAGTGGAGCGGAAGGGGTATTTAAGTTGGACGGGAGCCGTATTGAAGTCGGATAAAAGGGGTACTGAAGTCGGACGGGAGGGGTTTTGAATTCGGACGGGAGGTGCATTGTATTGAGGTCGGGCGGGAGGGGCATTACGTCGAACGGTAGGTGTATTGAAGTTTGTTGGTGGGGCATTGCCACTGACCAGGGCGTTGACCTTTCCGAGTGTGGACACTGCCACGGCGGGGCTCTCCTTTAGGTGGATCCTCCAGGTGGCGAAGAACTCGCGGTCGGCCGCGTAGCAGCGCCATAGACACTGGATCAGCTGCGCCGCCGCCGGGATCTGCCGGTTGAAGTGCTTCTGCCGCTGCTTCTGCTGCACCTTGAGCGCGAATCCCGAGCCCAGGATACCCTGTGGCGACAGACCGATATGGTCAGAATACGAACGGTGGAAACAACTGCGTTATTTGTTTGAGCTACATAGTACGTATGAGGCATGCATGATATTAGACCGATTTATTCGATGATGGTTGTCAGTATCACAGTTCTAGAACGTGACCTGCAAATGAGAGTCGAGTAGGAACTTTGAAGAATATAGTGATGACGAATCAGCACTATATATCGTGCGAGTGTTCGGTTTCCTACTTTGATCCCTGGTTCGCATTGTTGTTCGCATTTCCTACGCCGTACGGTGCATCACAGACGGAGCAGCCCACGTCGTAACATGAATTGAATACCCATTACCAAAGCAGTGTAGCTGAAATTGCCTGCAAACATGAACATACAAACACACATATAGTATACGAACATTTGGTTTACTTACCGCTGGAAGTGCGAAGAAGCTGATGGCAAACACTGAGAAGCAGGATGCTACCATTTTGCCCAGCCACGTCTTAGGCACTGTGTCGCCGTACCCTATTGTTGTCACTGTTATCTGAAACAAATAGAAATAAGCATGCTTTTATTGTCAGAAAAATAGCTGCGACATAGTCGAGACAGACGGAAAAACATGGACCGGAAAAATGACGGAAACGATAAAATGACTTTATTCGAATGAAAAGAGAATTGAAAAGAGACACACATCTTCTCGAGATGAAATGCATAGGGGCGGTGATTTACACCGACACAAGAAAAAGCGATGTACTCATAACGCGCTTCACGGTGATCTGAGGAGGAGTTTGGTAGGCAAAGATCAGCCGTCGACTGATCAGGCCAGCCGCCATAGCAGCCGCCTGCGGGGAGCATATTGATCCATGTGTGAGCCTTGTTGCCTGGGCTGGAACTCTTCCGTCACATTCGGTGGTTTATTATCACTTTCTGTCCCTCGTTGGCGTTAGTACGTCTCCGCAAAATAGCTCAAACTGAATTAACAATTGAACACTTGTATCACCTCTTCAATCCTACCGCAAAAGAAGGCAAGGTTTCGAGTTAACTGTTAACCCTCGCATGTGTGCGGCGTTTGCCAGCTGCCAGTTAATGTGTAGGGGGGGGGGGGGGTCGGTTGGACCCCCCCTTGCCGTTTGGCCCCTGATCGAGCTTGAGCTTCGCGGAAAAAACGAGCGTGTTGCCCGTGACGAGAGGAAGCCGATGATACCCAATTTTAAGGTCCTAGGTCATTGGTTGACCTTCCAGGTCAGGTAAATGACCCAAAGTCGGGAAAATCGGGACCTATTAGAAAGTCGTAAAGTGTGGCGGCTTAGGGGTTTTTCGGGGTGCTGATCACGAATATCGTGTTAGTTTTGATCACAGATAATGTCTTTAAGCATTTAGACCAGGTCGGGTCAGGTCAGGTCAGGTCAACCAGTAGGGGTTGTGACGGGTATTCGTAGTACGTGTCAACCGCCTCTGACAGCTTCGTAACATGTTACGAAGGCACCAAAACTACTTCGTAAATGTTGTTCAAATGGTTGCTAAATTCGAATTCAGCTCCAAAAACTAGCCTAGAAACATGTAAAACTCGAAAAAGTGAACCGAGGTCACCCGAGGTCACCAAAGGTCAATGACCTGACCTGACCTTCAGGTGACCTTGACACCCATTCTAATGCATGGGAGCAATATCAAATCACATGTTAGAACGTTTGAAACCACGAAAAGCTTGTAAACGCGCGGCTAATGCGAGCCGACATACGCGGAATCGCGATTCCGGCCAAACATGGTCTCGGAAAAGAGGTCACAGGTCAAAGGTCATTTGGGTCAGGGTCATGAAATTTTTTAGGGTAGGTGTAAAATTGATCAATGAGAGGGTGCTGAAAGTTTCGTCGCGATCGGCCGCTTTTTACGCGAGGCTTTTTACGCAAGATTTTCGCGAAAAACCATGGGGGGGGGTCCATCCGACCCCCCCCCCTACACATGCGAGGGTTAACTAATTCGTCTGATTGCATCAGTTCTACGAAAAGTGGCATCATGTTCGCACGTTTCGGCAAGACTAGACACACGTATAGGACACACACTGCGCGCCTAATGGCCAGCGTCACCCATTTTCTTATAAACCTCGTCTTAATTACTGAAATTCCTTGGCTCGGAGCTGCGCCCCCTGTCAGAAGTGATGCGTCACATGATCTGTGCGCCGCCTGAGAATGCAGCAGTGAGCACGCGAGCGGCTGCACGCGACGATGACCAGGCGACACGGAACGGTCACGAGTCTCTCCGGACGAGGAACGGTCACTTTCTCAGTTCCACTGTGCTTTTGGGTTAAAGGTAGTGTGCCAGCTTTCCTGGACCGTATGGAGTTAATGGCCCAGATAAGGAGAACCGGATTTTTAGAACTTATCCATACCTTCAAAACTCATGGAAATGTCTTAAATTCTTCAAATTTTGAGTACCCCAGTGCGAAATTCGCCCCGACGGGTTGTCGGTCGTACCCCAACCACATTTCACACCACTATGAACAATAAATGCACACACTGAAATCGCTATTACCGATATGCTCATCCAATCAAGTTTCGATAAAACCGTTCATCATCATCTCCTGCGGTTTCGAACACGCCTGTTAGGTGGTGCGGTAGACCGCGCCCAAAGCCAGGGCCCCGGTAACGTGAGGTAGCCGAGTCGGGGCAGCGTGCGCTGACCCAAGCCGGGGCCGCGCGTCCTCCCGGTGTCATGTGATAGCCCGGGGCTGCCCGCGGGGATGCGGTAGACCGCGCCCAAAGCTGCGGCCCCGGCTTGGGTCAGCGCACGCTGCCCCGACTCGGCTACCTCACGTTACCGGGGCCCCGGCTTTGGACGCGGCTTCTGCTCATACTTTGTGGTGCGGTGGTGGTGCGTCGGGCCGCGCGCTCTGACTTCGGCCAAGAAAAATGCGTCAGCTGATCATTGTCATTTATGCCACTTGCGTGTGGTGAAATGGGGTCATAACTTAAGAGACGGCTTTTTCATATCAATTATTTTACATAAAATCATATTTCAAACCATAAATAATGTTCGTCAGCCAAATAAAAGATACAATACCAATACAGGCTTACAGTTTAAGGCTCGACATTGTGTTGTCTACGATTAGACAGCTGATAACTCATTCCCATACGTCGTAACTCTATAATGACCTTTGCTTATTGTCACATGTGCGCCGCATTCGCGATTGTTGCCGACGCCTGTTTGCAGGTCAGCCCACTACAGTTGTTATACATATCGAAAAACCGATAAACTTTTAGGCAAAAAGGCACTATTCCAGGCCCATTTTTGATTTTTTGCGATATTAGGTAAAAACAGAAGCTTCTTATCCTAGGAAAAATAAAATGGGAAATCTTTCAAAGGTGGCACACTACCTTTAACGGCATCGCTACCAAAAGGTCCGAAGATGAATTATATCAAGTCTCTTCTTTCTTCACTCTGTCATATTTGTTTCTCTTGATTGGATCACTAAGCTGTTCCCTATTCCTTAGTTCCCTGTTGTGTGTGATTTTGTCATTAACTGCGTGCCTGGAATAGTGTCCTATTGCCCCAGTTCACTCGTTAAAAGTCGCTGTTTTTGGTGGCCAGCGGACGGGAACGGGTCGCCAACGACAGGTGGGAGACATCTGCTGCGGCGAAAAACACCGCCCGGGAACGCTGACGTTGCCTCTGCTCTCCAGCGTAACAAGCTGGGCCCTTCAGGTCACAGTATCCCCTGGTAGAAAAATGCTGAGGCTAAGGAGGGCGAGAAGGACGAGTGACCTGTTATTGAAGCAGCGACATAAAAGATATGTGAAAGAAAAGATGACAAGAAATCAATACTAATCCCAAAACCAAGTTTCAATAGACACTCAAAGGAGAGGGGCTACAGCCCAAATACAGTTGTCAGATAGCTTCTGAATTAAAACAATGTTATCAGCAGACATGTGCATGGATCCGAGAGCTGGATCTATGATCTCAGTGGATCTCTCGACAAAATAGAGGGGTTGGATCTATGATCCGAGTGGATCTCTCGACAAAATTCAGGGGTTGGATCTATGATCCGAATGGATCTCTCGACAAAATGTAGGGGTCGGATCTATGATCTCTGTGGATCCAGCGGGCAAAAATTTGTGGAGGACCTATGATCTGTATGGATCTCACAACAACATGTAGCCAATGAAACCCTTATCCTACATAATTGTACACCTTACAGTGCAATACAATTGAGAATTGTCACTTTTGGACATTGTTAAGACCAGCTGTAATCATTAGGTATCATCATTAAATTTGAATTTAAATCAACAACATTTGTACTACATTTAAAATAAACTAAGAACATGCACATTGCTACTTTTTGTGACCAATTGTATCTTTTTCATGACAGCACTGGTGACAATCTTATCAACAAGCTAAAGCCACTTTAATTCAATGAACAAACAGTACAGACAGATGCAGTGGCAGCTAGGCACTGCAGATTTTCATTTTGGTCCCATTCTTTCCATGCAACGCCAGTAGGGCTAATGTTAAAATTCCAAAATCTATGGGGGGCACTGTACCCTGGTGCCACCCCCCCCCCCCCACTGTTCTGCCGCCCATGGACAGATGTTAGGAAATCAAACCTGGAAGCCAAATAGGTCAGTTTTGTTAAAAATAATCCAGCAATTCACTTCTGCCAGGTATGAAATCCCAATCCAGAATGTTCGTATGACCTATAAGTATGTGCAACACAATTTCGATTTAGTAAGAATAGCAACCAACCTCTAATACTTTCCTAATAAAATTACAAGTTCAAAAATGGCACCAACTTCTTCAGATTACCTACTTTTGGCATCGTGCCACGTGTGGTGCCTTGCTGTGCTTTCGTTATGAGAGACCCTCCCAAAAAAGACAAACGAAATTCACAGCTCACGTTTTGGTAATATGGTTTTATTACGTCATTATCGTTTGACCAATGAAAAATCTTAATTTGACTAAAACCGTAATGATTCCAAAAAGATTCCCCGTAATAGGCCCTTCAAACTAATGACGTAAGATATTGTGATGCCTTTGAAAAGTGAATAAAATTAAGATGCAAGGCGCCCACCTGGCTTAGGGCCATGTAATACCGTTTCAGCTTATATTTACGTCATTAAATTCAACGCTACAAAGATGATATTCACAAACAATCGTATCGTAAAATTATGTGAGGCAGAGAAAAATGAACATTCTTTTGAAAAAACTCCAGACTTTTGAATTTCCAGTTTGATTTTTTATTTATTTTCATTAAACTCGAAGGTAGAACGCTTAGCTCATTTGTTATTTGAAATGACGTCACGAGTTCTATTAAGATACTGAATAATCATTTTACGGTAAATATCCAAGGCCATTACAATTGATATTTCGCTTCCCATCGCTTCCGCAGGCTGTTGAATATTTTTATACTTTTGTTTATATCTCAGTTTATTTTTTCAAATATTTCTTTCAATAGATTGAACCTTTACCTAACCAAGCCACATGTGTCAGTATCATCTTTTATTGTTTATCAATCAATTGTGTTAGCTGGAAAGGAAAGCCTCATGGTTGTCTAATGCAAGATTGTCTTATCAATATCATTATGTAGATTCTAACATGAATTGTGATGTGGTAGGTACCTAGTAATGTATTGTTCATTAGTCATTACTTTGACTTACCTCTATGTTAATTGTTAATGCAAACTTTTCTGTTGGTATGTGAACAATCTTCATGTCACTCAATTCTCTCAAGTTGTGACCGTCATGAGCCTCCTTTATTTTGTATTCTGTACAATGTAACTGGATGCCTTTACTAATATGGCCTTTGTATAAGATTGTTTCTAACCATACTTTGGTATTCATAACTTCTTATGAAAGAAAGTTGTTGACATTTTGAGCACCTATGAGCTATGATCCCAATGGATCTCACGACAAAATTGGGGACCCAGATCTATGATCCGAGTGGATCTAGCGACAAAATTGAAGGGTCAGATCTATGATCCCAGTAGATCTCTCGACAAAATTGAGGGGTTGGATCTATGATCTGAGTGGATCTCGGATCGGGATCCATGGGATCGGATCTCAGATCCATTTTTCCGGATCCAAGCACATGTCTGGTTATCAGGTCAGGAACTGCGAGACGATGACCAATGATCGGGTCCTCTAACTGACCAGTAGTCGTCCGTATGCACCATGCAGCGTTTCCCCCCGGCGACCGATCATTGTGATCAGTCCAGTGGCGCTTAGTAATCAATCCAACAACAAGCGATGGTCCACCTGGCCACCTCGGTTAGCCCTGTGGGTCCGCCCCTGCCCGTCCACCGGCCAGGTATTCCGGGACCTTTAGTGTATACCGCCTGCCTGCCCCGAACAGAGCTCGTTAAGCGTCCGATGAGTGACGAGCCGTCGCGAATGGCCGTAGAGTGGTGCCGCTCCGGCGACAATATGCCAATCAATACTGCTCAGTGCTGGAACGACACCGCCCGTGAGGCACCGCCGCTATAGGACCGCGTGATGCGTGAGCCTGCATTTAACGACATTCTTATCGTACTATTAGCTACTACGAACCATTTTGCCGCCTGGATGATTTATGCATTCATTTGCCCTACTTAAGTGTAATGTGGAGCCTCGTGCAAATGGTTTATTTTAGTTGGTACTATAATTGTGTTTACGATCGATAAACCTTGTTATGTTGTTTACAGATAGCAGGTAGGCCAATTAACCTGCGATGGAACGGCGATGGTGGTGTAGGGGTCTTGGGACCACTTTGCAGAGCTCAGGGGTTAGCTGAGGCACCGCGCCGATAAACACCGTGACCGAGTACTTCTATAGGGAGCGATCGGAACACAAAAAGAAAAACGCGGTCGAAACGCATGCCGGACACCCTCATCGTAGACTCGTCTCTCTGCGAAGTAAAGCGCCTAATGTAATGACCTCAGTTCCGCCGCCGCCCGTGAGCCTCGCGGGCGCAGCATTCCCTTTGATCGTGCCGTAGCGCACGCTCCCCAGACATTCCCTATAGGCACCAGCCGTCGCAGCAGCCGCGGCTGTCTGTCACAGTCGACCGAACGGCACCGGCAAGAAACACTGCCCGATAAGACAGAGGAACGAGCTGCCCTGCGAGATTGTCCCATAACTCTGCGGCTGGCACGCACCGGCTGGGCTTCACTGCACTGCGGTCGGCCGCCACTGAACAGTGGACAGTTTGTCAGAACATCTAACCGCGGACACGGGTAATATGTACGATTCTCGACTGGCCGCGCCGCGTCACTTGAACGCCGCTGTGGGTGTTTGTGTGCGAACTGGGTTAACCCGCGCCCCGCTGGGGGGGGGCAGAATCTGCCCCCCTCCCGTTTTTCGCCAATAACTTCTAAACGCGTTACGCCAGCAACGTCAAACTTTCAGTACCTTATCATACATCAATTTGACACGTTCCCTGAAAATTTGAGCGAAATCCGTCGGAAATTTTTTGAGAAATTGACGTTTTAGTGACGTCATGTTCGCCATTTTCGCCTCAAAAACGGCAAAATTTCAAACGCCGCTAACTTCTTCATTTTTAAAGGAATCAAGACGTAACAAAAAAGTTTATACGTGATTCTACTTTGTCTATCAAATGGCTATCTCGGTTTTTTGAAAATTTTGGATTTTGGCCAAATTTTTTCCAAAAAACTAACTTTTTTGGGAAAATATTTATAAAATCCAAAATTTTGTTTATCGAAAAAACCGGAATATATGTCAAAGAAGTGGTCTATGTGCACCTACATACCAATTTTGAGAAGAATCGGTTCAAAAATGTGGGAGTTATTCAAAATTTTATGACGTCACGACACACAAATTTTTTGAAAAATGATTTTTTTGGAAGTTCTAGACCTCGTACGGAAACAAAAATAGCACCATTCGATTTGCCGTGAAAAACTGCATCGGATAGACACCTTTTTAGGCCTTAACAACCAACTTCAAAATTTGACCTCACTTGACCTGACCTTGACCTGACCTCGACCTGAAATTCATCCAGAGGTGGTCCATATCACTTATTGAGTGTGCCTATTGAATTCCATGAGTAAAATGACCCATAAAACATGTGTCGCACATGCCTATTTCTATATTTTGTTTTTGGTGACCTGACCTGACCTGACCTGACCTTGACCTTGACCTTTGAATGACATTTTATGCAACGAATATTGTCTTGATAGTCTAAGAACACGTTTTGGGCAAGCAGTCTCAGTCCATTCTTCGGCAACTACGGTGCAAGGCCGATACTGTAGAAACTTGCATTTTGTACCCTTGACCTGACCTTGACCTGGCCTCTGACCTACTTAAGCAAAAAAATTTGGGCTCTTAAGATCCGCCTTGTTGAGAGCTTTCGATTGCCGTTTTCCCCGTCTCTCTACGACCATCGGTTCGGAAGTTAGACAGGGGGGGCAGAATCTGCCCCCCCCCCCCCAGCAGGGCGCGTATGGCTGAATAGCCCAGCGAGGCGCGGGTTAACCGGAGCCAGCCGGATACACCTGGACCCGCCCAGATATATCTGAGCACAGTTGGACCCAGCCGGACCCAATTGGACCCAGCTGGACCCAATTGGACCCAGCCGGATACAGCTGGACCCGGCTATTATGGAGTTCCAGAACTTTTTTAAGCTATATAGGCAAAGCAATCGGCAATTCATTCGAAAGGTGGAAACCGTGCTAGTAAACAACTGACAATTTATCAGGTACCGAGTGGATCAAAGGGATCAACTAGGTGCCCAATGTTCCGTCGTGAAACGGACTGGGATCAGACCCAACAACAAAAACAAAGCAGAATGTGAAAACGGAAAGTCTCTGATGAATGAAAACAGAAAAAAGAGGTCGATGGTTTACTTACCACTCCCCACCAGAGGGCGTCTGCGTAGCTGTTGAAGTCGGACATTTTTCCGTCCTTGTCCACCGCATCCTTCTCCGCCAGAAACATGAAGTACGATGAGAAGATGAGACCCAAAAACCCAATGTACAGAGTGGTGATGAGCTCCTGAAATACAAAGGCGGACAGCTATTATCAGCCACGGGACATTAATGAAAGCTGCATTTCGGTTATGTCTGTTGCCATAACTGTATTAGCCCTCGCCCGCACATGCCATTTTCCCATCCTAGAACGCACATGGGGGGGGGGGGGGTGGTTGCCACCCCCCGCGCCATTTCGTTCCTGTTGGAGATAGAGCTTAGCAGTAAAGACCAAAAAGATTCTTTGGGAAGAGACAAATCCAATGATACCCAGTTTTACCTTCTCAGGTCAGTCATTGACCTTCCAGGTCAGGCCAAACTAAAAAATGTTGCTGTTTTGGGTCACCGTTGGATATCAAGTGCGCTGCTTATCAAATACCGATGACGATGCTGTTTTCTGGTGCCAAGCCAGCTAGAACCTCTTTGTCACACTATCCGACCAGAATTTTGCTGCTGAGGTCATTTCAGGTCAAGTTAGGTCAAGGTCAATTATATGTGTTTGTATGTCTGTGTGTGTCTGTGTGTATACTGATGTGTGCACCGATTGTTTTTGGGTCCATATCACATGAAATCATGATCTGAGAAGCTTTTACCAAAAATGCAGTAAAAAAACTTCACAAAAAGTAAATTCAGCTTGCCTAAAACGCAATTATCTTAGATGACCTAGGTTGACCTTGACCCTGACCTTGACCCCTGTACATCGTCGAACAACATGTTCCATGATAGGTGGGAGGTAAGACTGGCAAAAAAGGCCGAAATCAGGGTGTCAAAAGCTCACAAGGCCCATGGCAAACGCAAGATGTTGAGAATTGGCCATTTGGGTCATGACATGACCTGAAAAACAAGGTCATATCTCCGAAACCAAAAATCACAGAAACTTGAAATTTTCAGTGGACATCAAGAAAGGATAGACGAGCAGCTATACGAAAAATCAGCCTTCTAGCTCTAAAAATGATGAGTGCAGAGCAGAAAGACTGCCCTGGGGGGGTGGCAACCACCCCCCCCCCCCCCATGTGCGGGCGAGGGTTAGGTTTCGAAGCTGATGGCTGTTCTGCATGCACGTTGAATATTACGTCACTATCACCGGTTGGCACTGCAGCAGATCAATGGCGTACCAGCAGCAAATAGAAGCCGGCGATTGTCAGTAATGCACAGATAGTCAAGTGGCGCTAATGTGAACCGTTATGTAAAGCAGTACAAACGCTCTACAACACTCAGGCATCCCATCTGCCGTTTTCGCTCTAGAAAGTAGGCGGCTGTTATGTAAATGTCTGTTCGAACTTTTAACAAGATCAACTTTGCCCGTTTATGTAGTATTAAGTGAGCGCAGTTAGCTTCGAGCCAAAACTGCAAAGTCCCAAACACTGATGTAAAATTACATGATTATATTAAATGCTCACTGTTCAGACGTTCAGAGTTCAGACTGAATAAAGTCAGAGCCCTGCGTGAGACATTTCAAAACTGAGCTAGGTACACGTGGTCGCTAGTCTTGAAAAAGGATGCTTGAATATTATTTTATCAAATAGACTACATTGCTGTTGCTATAAGTGCATCCTTGTTTATCTAGTATACCTTTATGCTAATAAAGCATCTAATGATAAGGAAGGATATAAAAGGAAACCGGAGGTGTTCAGCAGTTGCCCCAGCATACAATGCCATGGATGTTATTGTCGGACATTATTTTCATTAAACAATCTATTAACCATATCCATTAAACATATTCAAGAATGTAAGGGAAAAAATTGTTTTGAACAAAACAATTTTTCTGGCAGTTTGAACAATTTGGCAGTTTTGAACAAACCAGCAGTCGCAATCAAGGGTAACATTGGGAGCAATGCAGCGTATTGACCGTCACTTTGGTGTGTCCTTGTAGTAGGCATTCGATATTGATCACGATACCTACTGGAGTGTCCGCCTGAGGTCGCTCGTTGACCTGTGCAACACGACGTGCTTCCTGTTCGTGTAACGGGGCGCGAATGGTCCGATCGTGAAACTGACCGTGGGATCGACCGCACCTGGATCGACAGGATGACGGTACCCCACGGTGCTCTGGACTAGGGTGGGGGAGGAAACTAGCTAACAGGAGGTGGTTCAACGTATCCATAATTCATTCGACGATAGTAAGACAACTAAGGGATATGCTTCGATGGTCATAAATAAGACACACAGGCCGTTTTCACGACGGAATAGCAGGCATCTATTTAATCCCCATTTGATCCTTTGGTTCCTCAGGAATTTTAGTAGTTCTTTTCAGTAGGTTCCCCAGTTTTCGAATGAATGGTGCGTTAGTTTGCTATTTTTCTATTAAATATCACATCGATTTACTTTATCTAAGGACTTATCACTAATATCAACATAAAGCGTAAGCACAATTATAAGATTATGAAATTATTAAATACTAGTACAATAGTTAAAAAAAGCTACTGAGTTGCCAGGCTACAAAGAATATATTCATTTATGGCGCACGACAGACATTTAGAAAGCAGCGCCCTGTTTTATTGCACGCTGCTAGCCGCTTCCATTGGGTTTTGCAGGCCGACGTCATTGGTCGTTACACGTATGATGTCACGCGACTTGTGGCCTGTCACGGCTCTTTAATGATCTCCACTAAATGAATGCAACAATGGCCTTTTAAGTTGATCTCTGTGGCCATCTGTCTATGGAGCGACCAATATGAAAGTTGGGTGAATTTACCGGGGTTACATGACTATGAGCAAGCAAATGTGTATCAGGAATGGATTTAGGTGGAGAATTGCGCTGGACCATGAGTGCTCGAACGCTCCCAATTCCACGCCGGTTTGGCTTTGGAGCCGAGACAGACGATGCGGGTCAAGGTCACCGCTGGGGTAACGGTGGATTGGCTGCGCCCGAGCACCCGTAACGCGGCACAATTCTCCATCTATGGATTTTCCTATTCGCTCAGCATTGTGATAGGCGTTCGTAATAGCATTTACTCTGCTCATGTACCTATCCCCGGTTATTTAAAAGAAGTTTTTGTGGGGGAATATCACGGCTTTAGGTACTCGGTGGCCCTATTCACGACTTTCAAAGAATGTTCCGATAACTAAACACCGCACAGACCTACTGCATTAGTGAATCTGACAGAAGGTCTGTGGAATTACATCCCCCCTCACCACACCCCTTAAAACTCATCCAGTGTCCAAAACCACTTTTATCGACTCGCCAAAAAAAAAAAACCACACACACATACACACACAAAGCATGGGGCATGTCAGCTCTCAGTTCATTTATCATTGTCTACCATGGTTCAATTGCATTGCGCGATTTAAAGCACGTGAGTGCCTATATAGTATATATGTAGAAAATAATATCTACAGCAAAACATCCAAAATTACAAAGGCTACAATGCTTAAAAAGTAGGTTCATCAAGGAAGCCCATTTTTACTTGCGTTGTGTTCCCAACCATGCGATTCCAACGCGGGCTATTCGCAACGTCTTTTAAGGCACGCTAACTTAACTGACAAGCCGCCATCGCTGCCACTTATTCATAGATGGTTGATATCGCAGCTTGGGCGTCAGCAGCGCGGCCCACAACGTGTCGGCGCCAGCGCACGCAGCTGTTGGCACTCGGCAGCCGGTGTTGCGACTTAACGGCCGGCCGGCCCCATGAAGGAGAAGCTCTTGGTGAAGCTTTGTGATCGCCTCATAGCCGCCTTGGAAGTCATCTTTCTTGGCAGATCCATCCGTTCAGATGGTACGGTGCAGTCTGGATAAAGGACCAAGTCCAACGCCACTAACCCCGCGACCGCCACCCCACAACGTGGCCGCAGACCGAACGGGCGTGAGGGCCGTAAGGGCCACCCCGCCATCCGGTAGGTGGCTGAGCAGCCGGGCGCAGCGGCGCCTGGGCGGCGGCCGCGCTGAGATGAAGTCCCAAACCGCCATGTCGCCATCACCGCCATCACCATTGCTGCAGCTGTTCCCAACCGCCTCAATCGCCGCCGTTTTGCCAGCAGTCGCGCCGCGGAATGGCAGAAGCTCCAGAGTAGCCTCCAGCGCCCCTCTCCGCACGTGTGCAGGTGCACTGCGGCCGCCGGGTCCGACGTCCAGGCAGAACATGATATTTCCATGCTGCTCCGACGGTGGGCTGGTCTTGTTTGGGCGTTCCTCCACTGTGACGTCGGTCACGACTGCCCCGGCCAGGGCGCAGAGGCCGACGTGTCACCATCCGGTTGCAGTCCTCACTCCTCAGTCGGGTCGCAACGTGTACCTCTTCCGCAGCGTGGAGCGCGCTCCCGCTGGGCAGCGATACAGCCAAAAGTAGCATAGCATGCGGGCGGCCAGCGCTGCGCCGGACAGCGGACCCATGCCGGGGGTATGCCGGTCTCGGCCATTAGCGGGGTCGTCGGGGCCGAGGCTGTACATACAGCTGGTGACCGCGTGAGCCGCCAATCGAAGCTCACGGCTTATAAGCTCGACGCGGGCATCACACGCCGTCCCGATGGGAGCTCCACGACGCCGCCGCGAACTCCAGCGCGGCTCGCAGCGCGAAGACCAGTACGGACGGCCGGGGCAAACGGCGTGCGGGAGTCGCAGGCGACGTTCTGCGGACAGAAAGGGTTGGGCATAAGCTGGTCGGCAGGACACTCTTGAGCCGAGCCTTTGATGTAATTACAGATGATCCTGAAGCATGCACAAAAATTCATGACACACTATTCTCATTTATGTATTTGCTACATATGATATGATATACCAGCTCATGATCAGTGACGCATTCTGGGCAATATGTTCTAAAGTGAAGTAACTGAAGTTACAGCTTAAAAGCTTAAAAAACAGCTTAAAAAACACACACACATTCGATAGCTTATGAGAATAACATGCCTTGTGTGCTTAATGCAGGAAAATATTTTTTTTTTCACTTTTTTAGAAACAGCAAAAGAGTTGTCAACAAGCCATGTCAACTACCTAAACAATTTTATGGAAACTGCTCTAGCTAGCTTAAAGTTCCACAACGTTTCCGGAGCACCGTACCCAAACTCAGTTCATGTTACAAGAAAAAACAGTAAT